GAGAAATCCCTGTGGACTTAAGACATTGAAAATAGCAACCTGGAATGTCAGAAGTTTATATGCAAGTGGTAAGTTAGCGAACGTACTGCTTGAAATGGAAAACCTCCGAATTGATGTTTTAGGTATAAGTGACGTACAGTGGCCAGGTTCAGGCAAACAAATTACAAATAATGGAACCATATATTATTCAGGTCACAACGAGGTCAATCATCGCTATGGTGTTGCTATCTTAGTTGCAAAAAAGGTCAATTACTCTGTGATAAGTTTTACTCCTTATTCTGATAGGATCTTATCAATACAACTACAGTCTAAAAAAGGTATAGTAAATTTTATTCAAGTTTATGCTCCTACGCCAGATAAAGATGACGACAATATCGAACTATTTTACCATGATTTGGAACAAGTCTTAAAATCAATGAAGAAACATCACACTACAATAGTAATGGGCGACTTCAATGCCAAAGTTGGCTAGGGAAGAGTGGATGGATATGTGGGGAATATGGTCTAGGAAATAGAAATGAACGTGGTGACCGTTTGATACAATGTTGCCAGACAGAAGAATTTGTAATAGCTAATACACTTTTTAAGCTACCAAAAAGAAGATTGTATACATGGAAATCTCCCGGTGATACAACGAATAGAATAATCCGAAATCAAATTGACTTTGTCCTTATTAGACAAAGATTTCGTAATTCTATAGTGTCTGCCAAAACTTACCCTGGAGCAGACATCGGTTTAGACCATAACCCCATAGTAGTCACATTATGAACCAAATTAAAACTGGTTAAAAAACCCACACAAAGTAGAATTGATATTAAAAGACTAAGAGAACCACAAACAAAGAAACAAACTGTAAAAACTCTTACTGAAAATCTAGGTAATGTCCAAGAACTGAATAAAAGTAGCTATAACATTGATCAGAAATGGGAAAATATAACGGTAGCAATAATTAAAACAGCAAATGAAAACTTAAAACCAAAGAATAGAAAACATAAAGACTGGATGACTGAAGAAATATTACTATTAATGAATGAAAGAAAATCATTTAAAACAAAAAATCCAATTAAATATAATGAAATTGATCGATTAATAAAAAAGAGAATAAAAGAAGCTAAGGAGAGAATGTTACATGAGCAGTGCCAAAAACTAGAAGAAATTGAGAAAAAATATGACTTTTTTAACATGCATAAAAGAATTAGATCATTAACAGGAACGAGAAAAACACTTCAAACTAGGCAACTAAGAGACGAAAGTGGTGCACTTATAACAGATATAAACCAAAAATGCAGAGATGGACACAATATATAGCACAACTTTTTGAAGACAAAGAGAGAACAGAAGCACCAAAAGAATTTAAGGATGATACTGGGCCTGACATTATACGAGAAGAAATTGAATATGCAATGAAACAAGCTAAAGGTGGTAAATCTCCCGGGTCTGATGAAGTTCCTATCTAATTACTTAAAATTGTGAATACTGAATCCATTGATCTTCTTTTGGATCTATTCAATACCATGTATAGAACAGGTATAATACCTAAAGAATGGCTCCAATCAACATTCATACTGCTTCCCAAAAAAACCAATGCAAAGGAGTGCAATGAACATCGCATCATAGCCTTAATGAGTCATGTCTGAAATTGTTTTTAAAAGTAATTCACAATAGAATGCATAAGAAATTAGATGAAGGCATAAGTAATATACAAATGGGATTTAGGAAAGGACTGGGAACACGAGATGCACTGTTTACAGTAAGTGTTCTTTCGCAGAGATGCTTAGATATTAATCAGGAAGTATATGCCTGTTTTATTGATTTTGAGAAGGCATTTGACAGAATGCAGCATAATCGACTTAAGGAAATTTTATTAAATAAAAACATAGACAGTAGAGACATTAGAATCATCTGTAACCTCTATTGGAATCAAACAGCAAAAGTGAAAGTTGAAAACGAACTGACCGAGGATATCCAGATTCGCCGTGGGGTCCGCCAAGGGTGTATTTAATCACCCTTGTTATTCAATTTATATAGTGAAGCCATCTCAGAATTAGCGCTTGCCGAGATCAGTGAGGGCCTTATAATAAACGGTGAGCCACTTAATAACATAAGATATGCTGACGACACCGTCCTTCTGGCAGGAACACTAGAAGAACTGCAACACCTTACTGAACAACTAAATATATATTGCAACGATTATGGACTAAAAATCAATTTGAAGAAAACCAAGTTCACGGTATTTACAAAAGCACAAAACATCAAAGTTAAGCTAGTACTAGTAATACAGAAATTGAACAAATATCTTCGTACAAATACCTTGGAGCATGGATCACAGAAGATACTGATCAGACAAAAGAAATAAGATGCCGCATTGAAATTGCACGGTCAACTTTTAATAGAATGAGAAAACTTTTTTGTAATCGCGACATCAATATATCGCTCCGGATAAGAATGCTTCGATGTTATATTTTCTCTACCATTTTGTATGGGGTTGAAGCTTGGACACTTAAAAAATCCAACATTAAAAACCTAGAAGCATTCGAAATGTGGTGTTACCGACGTATTTTGAAAATATCATGGATGTATCGCAAAACAAACGAACAAGTTATCGAACAACTAGGAAAACAATGCGAAGTTTTAAATTCCATAAAAATCAGGAAATTGGAACACTTGGGGCACATCATGAGAGGTGAAAAATACGAACTACTAAGGAATATAATGCAGGGTAAAATCAAAGGTAGAAGAAGCGTAGGAAGACGTAAAATCTCGTGGCTACGCAATCTCCGTGAATGGTTTGGATGCAGTTCAATTGAACTATTCAGGAGCGTAACCAATAAAATTATAATTGCCAGAATGATTTCCAATCTCCGATAGGAGTGGAACTTGAAGAAGAAGAGGAAAGGACTCAAACAAGGATGCTCTGTGTCTCTTAATTTGTTTAAGATCGACTCGGAGCAAGCGATGAAGACGTGGAAAAGAAAATGCAGAAACATGGGACGGGAAAAATAACGCAATATTGTACACATCGAGTTTTACAGACGACCAGATCGAAAAATACGAACTATGGGGGCTAGAAGTAAACATCAAGAAAACTGAATACATGTGTATTGGGGGAGTTCAACAAAATCTAATCTTGGAAGAAATACAGCGAGAAATAAATCACTGTCAAAAATACTAATATTTAGACATGCAGATAATCAACGATGGCAAATTAGACGAAGAAATTAAACATACAAATAACCAGGGAAGACAAGCCATTAGGCAATTAAACAGCGTACTGTAGGACAAAACAGTTTCCAAAGAAAACAAACAAAAATCTATAACAGCATTATAAAAAGCATTGGTTATACATATGGAAGTGAGGTATGGCATCTGAAAGGAAAAAACTTAAAGCATTAATGCAATAGAAATGGACTTATGGAGAAGAGCGTCTGGAAAATCAAGATTAGACAGAGTTAGAAACGAAAGAATACGAGAAAATATGGGTGTTAAGCACAATATAACAGAGGACATCAGAATAAATCAACTAAGATGGCATGGACACGTTCAAAGATTGGATGAACACCGAACACCAAAGAAAATATTGAACTGGATACCGCATGGAAGAAGAAAGCAAGATCTTCTTCTTCTTCAGATGCAAATCCACTAATGGATGTTAGCGATCACATTTTCCATTAACTCTCTATTTCTTGCAATATGTATCAGAGATTGTATGTCGTTAATCCCTGTCCATTGCCTTATGTTTCGGAGCCAGGACATTTTCTTGCGTCCCATTCCTCTCTTGCCTTCAATTTTACCCTCGATTATAAGTTGGAGGAACTGGTATTTTAAAAACTGGTACCGTAAAAAAGCAAGATCGACCGAGATTAAGTTGGAGAGAAGGAACCGATAAAGACTTAAGGGACAGGGAAGTTGAAGAAAACCTTTGGAACAACCGAGATAAATGGAGACTGGAAATCAGAAGACGGCTAGAAAGTTATAAACTAATCGATTAATTGTATATTAACAAGTAAAAACATCAAGCACACAGATAAAATTAAATCACAAAAGCTTAGCCAATGGGAATGCTTATTTTTCAGAGTGTAATCTCTGAGAGTTCACAGGTGTGTAATGTCATTTCTATGTTTTCCATCCACTAGTGTGACTTACGTCTCTATCAAAGCGAGACAAATGATGCTTTTGCATCTATGAACTAGTCCCTTAATGCTTGTATTTAGTTCTATCTCGTACAATTGGATATCAGGTGTGACGAATAATCTCACCTGAGCAATCTATCAAAAATGGTACTAGGTTAATACATATCTTTATTTATAATCCACACTTCTGACCCATCCGTAAATACGGACTGAGTCATAACCTGATAAATATTTCCGTTAATTATTTTTTGTTAGTGTTCTTCCTCACAAGTACATTTCCATGTTTTCTATTTATTTGTGTACATCTTTATTATCCTGCTGGTCTAAATTTATTATATTATATTATTATGGGCATTATTCTTGTCAAATCATTTTTTTTTCAAAGCGCTTTCTGTTTCAATTTTTCCTCTTGATCCTCATATAGGCATGTATTGTGTCTTTTTTGTTTATCTTAGTGATCCATTTCATGAATTCTCACTAACTACGTTATCCACAGTTTTAAAACGTTGCAGATTATAAATATATAAATATAGATTTGAAGTAGTGTTGGAGGGCGACGGTGACACTGTTTTTTGTCTGTGAGAAGGCCTCAGAAGTCTGGTTTCCACCTTTAAGAACGGCTTGATTTTGACTATATAACGCTCTACGTAATTTTAATATATAACTTAATATATAATTTATTGTAATAAAAAAAAATAAATGTAAGAAAATATAGATATAAAGGTGTTTTTTAAATTGACCATGATAAAAAATACTATGATGTCAACTACATTGCATAGTCCTTATTTAGGATGATAAAAATTACTATGATGTAATTACAATGTAGTCAACACATTGTATACCATTTCCAGGAGATTCTTAGTAAATTACCTTATGTGTTTCTCGACAACTTTGATTATCTAAATTACGCAACTCCCTTAATAATCGCTCAGTCTTATTAAGTAAATGCAACTGCTGCCTTCTTTCCCATCCTGCCAATCCTAATTGAGAAAAGAAAAGACGACAATGCTGGAAAGCGTTCTGCTCGGTTACGGTGGCAATATCTAAAATTATAAAAATAGAGAAATAAATTATAAGAAAACGTAGGAAAAATGTAAATAGTAAAAGATATACTTTGAAAGATTTAAGATTTTCAGTCAGTTGTGATTTCATGATGAGGGACTATTAAGTATTTGGTTAAATATTTTCATTCTTTTCCCTTATTATTTTTTAATTTTTTACTTATATTTTACTTTTTATTCCAGCTATGTATTAAAAAGTATCTTACTAGTTTTTCGAGAATATATAGAAGTAACATTCGTTAATAATTGCTATGTTGAATACTATTTTTAGTTAGTTTTCCCAACAATATTGTTTAAATATAAACGCATTACACCAAACTTTATATTGCCAATGTCCCATCATTCAGTATGGTGACTACGCTACTAATGAAACGTATAAGTAATTTTATGTCCTTTAAGAATAATTACTATTTTTTTCCATGATTACACAGTATATATTCTACTAAGTATAGTAGAATATATATTATACTATACTATAACTGTGTAGTATAGAATATACTTGATGAAAATAAAGGTTAAAATAATAATTTCAAGTGTCTAAAATGGCAGTCCAAGTTTGCGGGAATGGCGATTTTCTATATCGGCTAGAGTCAATGTGATTGTTGATTAAGTATGTAACATACAAGTTTGAAAAAATCATCCAGGCGTTGACTATTAACAAACTTGCGAATTACAGTTACTTTTTCTCTCTGCTATTGAGCTTTAAATACAGTGTAATACTTACTTTGTTGGTAAGCAACGCTACTGAACGACGGATAACTAGTCTCTGACCTACTGTTTGGTCTCTCTACAGGCTGTCCGAGCATTGAATCGATTTGTTGAGAAAACCTACTGTCCTCCAGTTCCACATTTCTCTGACTGATAACGGACGCAATAGCTTCGTTCTCTACATCAGTACTCATTGGTGGTGCAGCTGGTTCGTTTAACTTTTGGTTGAAGTTTTCTAGACATTCTGGACTTGTATATCCCAGGTACTGAAGCAACTATTTACAAAAAATAATTAAACTTAAATTAATTTTTGATATAAATAGGTTGAGTGCTTTTAATATGTTATGAAAGCCGCGGTGCATATGAGTAAAATTTAAACTAGCTTGTGGGTAAAATGCCTTACTGGTGGTGTGTCGAGATAGAGCAGTTGATGAGGGAGTGTGTGACCCTTCGTCGGCACATGAGTAGGGCTAGAATACTTAGGAGCGCGGAAGAGCTGGCGAATGTAGTATGTGAATACGTCTTTACGTGCGAGAAAGAAGAAGTTGAATAGGAAGATCCGAGCCGAGAAGAAGAGGCACTGGAGGGGACTGTGGTGACAAGTTGGACGGAAATTGAGGGGTATAAAATCGCAATGAAGCATTTCGACACTTGTGCTCCGTATGACATGTCATTGGACCAGAAGTTGGAGACAGACATAGAATTGTTTCCACGTCGAGGCTGAGCGTGGTGTTCCCTATACGTTGGATGACCTAGCTGTGGCGTTGGGTTCCTAGTCTGGCAGGGCTTCTGGTCTAGAAGATGTCCCGCCTGAGGCGGTTGTACGACTGGGCCGCTTGGAGCCTAGTTGGCTGCTGGAGCACATAACTGCTTTTCTTGCCACGCAGTCGTTTCCGGATCCCTGGAAAATCTCTAGTCTCCTGCCCAAATTCAAGCAGAAACCATACTGTCTCCGAGACAGTATGGTTTCTGCCAAGGCGAAAGTACAGTGGATGCGGTGACCGATGTGATTCGGGCGGCACGGAAAATTGGGGCTGATCACCGATGGATCATCGTGATTCTCTTGACGTCCGAAATGCTTTCAATACACTGCAGTGGGATCTCACAATGAGCTCTTTCTAAGCAAGGAGCTGTCCAAGGTACCTTAGGTACGTTGTCGTTGAATTATATTATATTTCCGACACTGTGAAGCCTAGGATATGACGGGATGAGAAACCTTAAAGGGTGTGAACATGGGGAGGGTGTTACCCCCTTCGCATTCACGGACGACCTCGCTATGCTGATGGTGACATGGGGCAGGAACTGTTGCTTCGGATTACGCGTGCGTGTATTGTCTTTGAGGATTGGATGGACGTGCGAAAGGTAGACAGTGTTATATTTGAGTGCGGGGGAGCGAGAGTAACGCCCACAAAGTACGTCAAGTATCTGGGAGTTACTCTCCACCAGGGTGGCAGTTAGGGGGAACATTTGAAGGGGTGACCAGCAGATCTATTTTATTTATGGTATGGGTTTTATTTAGGGTGGTAATCACTAGTTGTTCCCTTACATGTGCTGGTAGGTGAAAGGGCCACGATTCATAGTCGTAGAGGACGGAACATTGGAGAGCGAGAGGTGAGTGAGATAAAAGTGGCTGAGAGATTAGTTTCAATCGGCCAGTGGCGGTAAGAGTAGGAGGAAACACATGACGTGACGAAGTCACTAATCCCGAACCTTCGAAGCTGGGTGGACTGTGGGCATAAGCAGCTGGATTATTTATTACCTAACTCAAATGCTCACGGGCCATGATTACTTCCGAAGTTACCTTTTCAGGTTTAGGAGAGCACAGTAGAAAAAGTGCCTTTACTGTGGTCTTTAGAATACTACGACACACACGATGTAGGGAGTGTGAGCGTTGGGCGGATGAAAGAAAGTGTAACTGTAGAATGTTTGACTCCGTATGAAAAATGGTGGAGAAAATAATAAAAATGAGTAATGAGGTGAGCGAAACCTCGTAACAGAATTTTGAAACTAGTGAGACAGAAATAAAAGAGAAAGAGAGAGAGAGAGAGAGACGACGCAAGAGAGATAGCAGCCTCGCTAAGGCAGGGGTTTGAAAGTCTTTAGAGGAAAGGTTTTAGTTGGACGCCGACCGTCTCGGAGTGGTGACGGGACGAAGTGTCAAAGTCCTAACCCCCTCGAGCATCTCGTCCTGGCACAACTTCGTTAGGGTATTAGGAACCTAGCACTACCTGATATTCCATTTTTTCTTTAAAATCGAAACATCAAAACTAATGTAAAATGTAAATCGCATTACACTCAATCGTGGTTTAGTCCCAGATAAAATAATATTTAACTTAAACATGCAACATGGAAATAGTTTCAGAACCTCTAAATAAAGTTCACCTGAAAAATAATGACAGTACAGATAAGATTAACTTATGAAAATAATTAGATTTAGTTACCAACAAGTTACCAAAATAAGTTTTGTTTTTTAATTTAATAACTGCATTATAAAAAACACTTTCACAACAAAATAAACAAGCCGTTGTAGTAAATCAAAATGGGGATAAGAATCTTTAAATGCAAATATCCAATGCAAATAGGAAAAATGCAATGCTGACGGTTTTTCAAAATGCTATTTAGAGATATATGGCAAACAATTTAGAGAGTTGTCAGTAGGCGGTCACCTTTCTAGTATAAATAAAATTAAAAATTGATTAAATAAAATCTTAATAGGGAAATAGAGAAATATTCGGAAATCAAAATAAATATACGTACATCATCAAGTTGGTCCAAATCAGGTGCTGCATTAGAAACATCTGGTAAAACACTTGGAGGTCTATGTCTTATAGCTCTTTGTGGTAAATTATGTAACGGTGATGATGCCATCAAACTTTCCATCTGAATACCACTATCAACGTTATCTGTCTGAGACTTTTGAAAGTCAAGATCTATTCGTTGTTTGATATGTTCCGGATTTTTGTATAAAATGGAAGCATCCCAACTGGATTTTCCGGATAGATCTCTTAAAATAACTCTTACTTGCTTATCAGCAGTTGACAGACCAGCTGTTGTCCCTCCTCCTGGTAATTCTAAGGCTGGAAGCTCGACTAAGCTTGCAATGATATTTTTGGACAAAATGAACAACTAAAAATTTAAAAATTGTGTTTTACTAAAAATAAAAGCAATGTAAATAATTGTTTCTTTAGATCTTTTGGAATAATACATTAAAAATTGCTTACCTGTATATTAGAAGCAGAGAAAATACTTGTTGACAAATCGTCCGAACTCATATTAGGTACGTCATCGTGTTCCGCAACAAGTGAGCTGAGCCGTGTAGCACCAATAGCCATTGGGAAATGGCCCAAATGTGAGACTAGATGTGAAAGAATTGTTCTTGCGCATAATTTAATTGCATCTTGACATTGATTATTTTTTAAAGACGATATCTTTTCCGATATTTCGAAATCGTCAGCAAGGATGTTTGGGTCGAAGTCGTCGTTTATGCTTGGCTGACTAAGACCACCTGGATGCTCCAAAGACGCTTTTCCAAGCATTATTTTATGCAGAACCTGCATAAAAAATGATATTTATTTGGATAGAATATTAATTATTTATAATTTTTTAAAATGCCATTTGACAATACTTCATATTATAGATAATGTATTTTTTAACAATATTCACAAAAAAAATCTTGATAACATTCTTTTTTATACAAAAATTTAGCGGTGTCTTACAATTGTATAAACACAGTAGCGTACACACTAATAAGTGAGTTTGAAAATTATTAACATCCTTTTTAAGTAAACTTTTTCAGTTTAAGTTACTATGTAGTTCTTCTACTTTCCTCTTCTGGAGTACGTTTTTCTACTACAAACTTCAAATATTAATTGTTACATCGATTCAAAGGGTACCCTCGCGATACGAGAGACAAAATTCCTTCACATGCAGAATTTATTTTTGTTTTTATTTTTTTTTTAGGTTTTATGTTATTAAAAAAGTATTTAAATATAAAAATAAAAAAAGACTTTTTTAGCGCAAAATTTTAGCACGACACCCCTACCCCCTAAGTTATTTTTCGTTATTTTTTTTTTTTCGGAGGGGTGCAATTTAAAAATTGAAACAGAAAATCACAGGCATAGTTGAGGCTTTTGCAAAACTAGTATATTTTTATAGGCCCATATGTTATAAAAAATTTATATTCATCTTTATGGTGCCGAAGCTTGAAGTGTTAATGTTGACATGATGCGAAAGCTGGAAGCTTTTGAGATGTGGCTTTTTAGAAGAATTTTGAAAATACCATGTACCGATCATAGTACGAACGAAATGGTGTTACACAGAATGGAAAAACAGAGCCTTTCGGTCACTATTAAAAGGAGCAAGACAGTATATTTGGACCACATAGAAATCAGAAGTAGAGTTGTTGCAGCTGATTATGAAGAGTAAAATTTAAGGAAAAAGGGTTCCCGGTAGATGATAAATATCCTGACAGAAAAACATTCCCGACTGGACCAGGTTAAACAGACAGAAGCTTTTAAGAAAAGCAGAAGATAAAAACGAATTTGCAATGGTTGTACGATGGCTGGTTCGAAGTTTTCTCACTCCCAACAGGATTCCCACCAGCGTAGTATCATTAAAGGTAAAGAAAATTTCAACTTCCAGCAGGACAATAAAATAGAATATATTTACATCTTTTGGACGTGTACGAACTCATCACTATATAGCGCACCATAAAATTATTAGATCGTCGGAGATATAGCTAACTGATCACCGGCATCCTTTGGAGATCGGTAAACTCATCACCGCAGATAGGTAAACGTATCACCAGCATTTTTGCCTCAAGGCACTGGTTTCTAAAGCGGAAGGTGCCTGTTATCTGTTACATTTCTTGTTTACTTAGTAATCTATTAAATTCAGAAATTATTTTACGCAAATTGCTTTAAAATTAATTGATATATTTATATCGAGTGTCTCCCGGCGAGTAGCCTATTAGACGCATCTTACTTATGCAATAAATCAACTTACCGTAAACACTTGTAGCAAAAGACATGTTCCCCTAGTTTCCCCATACTCGGAAATCTCCAATAACCTTTGAGGACCTAACTTCATACACCATTCTCCAAGGCAAAACAATAAAGCTGTCCCCAAAGCTTTATCACTCTCTCCAGCAGTCGATCCCAAAGGTGTATGTAAAAATAAAGCTGAACACAATGTGGAAATTACTGCATTACTCAGCCGTGGATATTGAGACCATAATAACGGAGCATGATCACAGAGAAGAAATAATATATTACTTGCCAACTGAGCAATAATTTTATTATTAAACTGAAACCAAAAAATAGTGGTAATACATTAAATGAAAGCATTTAATTTTTATTACTAATATTAGAAAAATAGTTCCAATAATGTTTGTATTTAGTTTAAGGGCAGAGAACCCAGTTCCAATTTACATAAAGGTGATTCTTTAATCTCAATACTGAAATAATAAATACAAGTAAATTGTCTAATACCTACTATTTGGATGCTAAGTAAATGCATCATAACAGATACTGACACGTAATGACTAACACGTAATAAAAAAATTACGCTTCAGTTTTATAAAAATGTGTAATATCACATAAGCCTTGTAAGTCAGTTGGTCGAGTTACAATGGAAACGAATTAACAGACGTTATTTTGACAGATTAAAAATTATTAAACTGTCAGTGTAAATATAGTGGTAATTTAATTTTTATTTTTATAAACGAAAATAATGAAATCGAAATCGTAGGCTTCCACGGCCAGAGTCAGAATTATAGTTTATTCGTCTTCCGGGTTTGGACCGTGTCATTTGTGAGTGACCCAAAAGTGGGTTCATCTCGACGTTTCGCTACAATTGTATGTAGCTTCTTCAGGAGAACAAAAAAGAAAATAGAAAGAAAGAAGAAAACAAAAGAACAGGAAGATGGTATTCGCCTCTGGTTGCGTTGAGTAACTGAGTTACCGTTGCTAACTACCCATCTTCCTGTTCTTTTGTTTTCTTCTTTCTTTCTATTTTCTTTTTTGTTCTCCTGAAGAAGCTACATACAATTGTAGCGAAACGTCGAGATGAACCCACTTTTGGGTCACTCACAAATGACACGGTCCAAACCCGGAAGACGAATAAACTATAAACGAAAATAATGGTAGAAAAAGTATAGTACGCAACTTGAGTTGTAAGCTTATTACATGCTTGTAAAATTACTGCGCTCGCCGCTACGCGGCTCGCGCGCAACTTTTTTACTCGCATGTAATAAGCTTCTTACAACTCTCGTTATGTAATATACTATTACACTATAAATGAACGAATTAAGTATACTTTTCGTCAGATATCATAAAGTGTATTAAGTTAAACATGAAATCAAATTTAATTATTTTCAGAATAACATGTGACTTTGACCCTTTTATGGATTAAATTCAAGGAAATAGAAACTGTTTAGTGGTTATCGTATGTCACTCAGTAATGTACTGAAAGCCATTGGTTTTTAATGGCTAAAAGATGATCTAAGGCGAGGACAAGTCTCATATTGTTGTGAAGAGAGCAGCATTTTTGAGATTATATCAAAAATATAAACATGAAGAACTATACAAGTTTATTTTTATAGATGAAACTTGGGTTTTTCAGATGGATCTATAATTAGCGCATGACAAGATGAGAAATAAAGAAGAGTAAAATGATTAAAAGTGAACTATTAAAACTGATCGAAAACGGTAATACATTTTATTTAATCATATTGAAAATATAAAGGGGTTGAAATAATTTTTTTTATAGATACATTATTCTTCAGGCTGGTAATGAGAATGGCCTCATTGAGGGTGTAGAAACTATATTTTCCTCTAAATAGGGTTTAATGGACCACCAGGGTAAATTAACCAAGCAATTGTTTTACGTGGTTTGAAAATCAACTGACTTAAAAATGCAATGTTAACCATAATGCACCAAAATGATGACATTTCAGACCTAAAGAACTACAGACCTATTAGTTTGCTCTCCCATATATATAAACTATTTATGAAGATAACAACAAAAAGGCTTGTGAACAAACTGAACAGTTACCAATCTTGCGAACAGGCTGGGTTCCGCTCTACATACAGAACAAATGATCATCTACAAGTTATTAAAACGCTAATAGTAAGTGCATAGAATACAAAAAGCCTATCTTTCTTATATTCGTAGACTATGAAAGGGCGTTTGATAAAATAGATCATCATAAAATGCGTCGAGCATTGGCTGACAGCCGCATCGACTACCGATATATTGTCTTGATTAAGAGTATCTACAAAACTGGTACAGCTTGTGTCGGACTTCTTGAAGATACTAAAAAGTTCCGAATAGAACGTGGAATTAGATAGGGTGATACTATCTCCCCAAAATTGTGTACAGCTGTACTCGAATATATGTACAAGAGGATAATATGGGAATTAATATAAATGGAGAGGATCTAAACCACCTAATATTTGCCTATGAAATCGTTATATCTGATAGAGTTGATAAGGCTACAATAATGGAAACGCTCTATGAAGCATCAAAAACATTTTTTTTAAGATCAACACTTCGAAGACAAAATTTATGACCAACCTTGTAGTCAGCGAGAAAATTTTGATTAAAAGCCATAGGATCGACCAAGAAATAGCTTACAAATATCTAGGGCATGAGATTCGCTTAGGCCGAGATAATCAGACAACTGAAATACAAAGAAGGATCTGTCTCATATGCCTTTGGTAGATTGAGCAACATTTTTTAAGTCTAATATTCCAGTTGGTTTTCTACTTTCCAGAGACACTAACTCTGACAGAAGGAACAATAAATAAAATAAGAGTTACAGCTATGGAAAGATTAATATTAGGTACAAATTAGAGATAAAGTACCAAATCTTGAAAAAAGAAGAACAGGAGTCACGGATGCAGTTGAAAAAATACCCACGGCTAAATGGGCTTGTGGCGAACAAGTTGCAAGAAGCTCAAGATAGAAATCGGTGAAATATTTTACAGGAGGCCTACGTTCAGCAGTAGACAAATATAAGCTAGTTGATAACTAACAATAAACTTCCTTTAAATGCTACAATGTTGAAAAGCAAGCTTTTGCATACTGCGCAGTATGTAGGCTCAATGAGAGTTAAGTATAGGATATCTATATTTATTTTTAGAAACAAGCCACCTCCAAAATACATTATTGATGAATTATCAGAACAATATGGCCATAAATTATTACGTCTGCCACCATACCACTGTATTTTCAATGCTATAGAATTAATATATAGAATTGCCAAAAAATATTATAACCGACATATTGGTAGAGATGGCTATAAAGAGTGTGATGCTTTTTTTATTTGATAAAAAAAGTGATATTTTAAACATATGGAAAGAAGCTGTACAAACTGTTACACCCCAGATATTGTAGCGTTTTTTATTTAAAGTGCATATAAAATATTTCTATGGTACGTCCCTGTTGTTTCTACCAAGAAATCGATCAATAAAGTTAAATGTAGGTACGTTGTAAATATTTCAAGTTTTTTTTGACGAGATTTTTAAATGCGTATTAACGTTGGAAATATGTTTTT